CACCTATTTTCCTGGTCTTCCACCTTCATTTCCAATGTGGCTCATTTATCCTGTAGCTTTTTGATAGCGCTGTGCATGGAATTTAAGTCGTCCTCGGTCTTTCCAATTCTTTCCTCTGCTTCTGTGATCCTGTTTGGTGTTGCAGCTCACCCTTGAGTCCGCTTATTCCCTCAAGCACATCGTCAAGTTTCTTTGAAAAGTCGCTTTGCATAGCATGTATGGCGCCGAGGACTTCCACATTCTCGGCCATTGCCTCCTCTGTGTTTTGGCTAGCGGCAGCTAAGCTAGCTTTAGCTTGCGACATTGACATTTTCGATGCAGCAGGGGTCTGTGGACCTGCTTTCTGAGGTCTTCCTGGCATAATGCTGACGGGTAATCTATTGTTTAAGATAATATGTATTTAAAGGAAGTTGTGGTCTTCTGAATAATTAATTCAATATATTAGCTTCATCGAGATGCATCTCACATAACCGGAAGTCCCTGTTACTAACTTAATCTTAACTTGTTGTTTACTTCTCATCCAATCATTTAATCGAGCTAAACAGAAAACAAATGGTTAGTGGTCCTGAGGGTTCCCTGATAAACCTCGATGTACCATTATACATCGTATCATCCGATTCATCCCCTAATATAGTGTAGGATACCCTGATATACTGTATCATCCCCTTATATAGTGTATGATACCCTTACATACTGTATCATCCCCTTATATAGTGTAGGATACCCTGATATACTGTATCATCCCCTTATATAGAATACCCTGACATACTGTATCATCCTCTGGCCCAAACCAATGACAGAGGCTCTCTCAGTGCGTCACTAGATAATTTACAGACAGTTCTACTCATACATTTAACTTCTAGTGAGTTAGAGGAACAATAAATGCAGTTGCTATTCTGAACAAATAATCTATGGAATTTAAGATTTTTCTTTTTCTTTCAACAATAGTTGCAAATGCTTTTTGCAAGGGAGTAATAGATGTTGTGATGTTTCTTTCATAAAGATGCTGCCTTAGTGGCCAGGAGACAAGAAGCCATGGAAGCAGCTCGGATGAAGATGCAAGAGGAACTTGATGCCAAAGCTTCCATCTTCAGAGAGAAACAGAAACAGGTGCAGTAATAAATACAAATAAAAAGTATGTTTGAAAGAAAGATTGTCCATGATGTAACACTTGAACTCAATGTGTGATGTATTTTTGTGAACAGCAAGAAGAAGAAAAGCGGAGGCAGAAAATCAAGATATGGGACAGTATGCAACAGGGAAAGAGTTACAGAGGAACAGCCACACCTTCTCAGGTGAGAGTCGACCTCTTCATCAGACTGTTCCCTGGTGGACACATTATGAAATGGATTTGAAATGTTAAACAGTTCGGAATGCACTCAATTTTACAAATCATCTTCTTATATTTATTCATCCACACTAAAGAAAAAAATGTTTGGTTATTACAACATGCTTTTACTATTCACCTCTGCCAGGGAAGTAATGATAAGGTAATTATACTCAGTATATGTCTGTTAAAATTCCTCTGGCATAAGTGTGCTCAGTATCTAGCTCAGTGGTCTTTAATATGTTTTACATGCGAGCCGCCTTGATGGACAAAGTCAATAGGAGAGCCACTTGTACCGCAAAGTATGAAAAGCTGCATACAGTTATAATAAGCATGTCTGCTTATGAATCTGTCATCCCACCCAGAACATACAATATGCAATGCAGCCAACCAATACTGTCATGTAAAGCGTCTTTGAGCACTCGGAAAAGCGCTATATCAATTAAATTCATTATCATTATTAATAAGCAGGGGTGCACATCTGTTTCTTAGTGAATTACTCAGATGGGTACCAGGAGACAGCGTTTGGTACTCACCACACACGTAGCGTGGTGTTAATAAGTGTAGTCTTCCTCACTGTCCTCCTCAGTGTCTCCTTCACTGTCCTCTATTTCCACTTCTTACATAGGTAGATGATGAAGATGCTGCAGTCTTCCTCACTGTCCCTTTTTAAGCCTCCAATTTGCTTTTTCCAAAACGTGTTGCCAAAACTGTGAAGTCCTTGCATTTCCTGAGGCCAAGTTGAAAGATCAAATAGTAAGAAATGATCACATGATTTGAAGTCATATCTGATTTCAGATGTGGGGAGTTACTAAGTACACTTATATTCAAGTATTGTACTTAGGTACAATTTTTGAGATACTTGTACTTTACTTGAGTATTTCTATTTTATACTACTTAGTACTTCTACTCCACTACAGTTCAGAGGTAAATGGTGTACTGTTGCTCCACCACATGTATTTAACACCTTTAGTTACTTTATAGCAGGGATGGGCAACTTGGATGGTGGTGGGGGCCACATAA